CCCCTCCCATTTTCTTCTTCTTCTTCTTCTTCTTCTTCTTCTTCTACTTCTTTTCTTCTTCTTCTTCTTCTTCTTCTTGTTCTTCTTCTTTTTCTTCTACTTCTTCTTCAACCCCTGCCTCACCCTACGACTTACTCGGTAGACTACCGCGTGCCATAACAGGGTCAAACGTTACTGAATAACACCATGCTGCCCCCCAGTAGTCAACCTCTCTCTCTCTCTCTCTCTCTCTCCCTCTCTCTCTCTCTCTTTTTATGTATGTATCTCTCTCTCTATGTGTGTCTTTCTTTCCGCCTTTCCAGATATCAAGAATGTCAAAAGTCGGAGACAAACGAAAGGCAGGAGAAGAGATAGAGTGCGAACGATCACCAGATCCATATGCACCGTGGGTGGGCAAAGATGAAACACATGCTTTAATCAATGAGAGCTGGGCTGAGATAGTTGAAAAGCAGCAAGAAGTTATAGATAAGTTGACAGCTGAAGTAATCGAGCAGAAACAGTTGCTCACCCAGGCGCAAGACGAGATAGCCCGTGTGGAACTTACACTCGTGGAAATGACAGAAACTGCGGAACATAGATTGTATAACATATTCTGGTTGTTGCTGCCTGATCCGAAATCTCTTGTGACGGATCTGAGGGAGGGCATGACAAAAGAACTCCAAAAAAAAACTAACGAGAAGAAGGGCATGTTTGAGGAGTACCAGAATATGGTTGTTGATCTTAAATGCTATCGGAAAAAACTTCTTCTTCACACGGACACTGCATGCGGTGCTAGAGCACAAAACGTTTGTGAATGAGATGTCACATGTTGTTCCTCTGCGGACAAATGTGTGGTCAGGGAAGGGTGGGCGTCTTACGATAATGAGGATCTGAACAGCGGTCCGCTGACAGCCTCCAACAGAAAAAATGTGGCAATTGTTTTGCCACGTTAAACCTATGTTGACACCACATTTCAACTGTTTATAAACCGTTGGCCGGGGGGGGGGGGCATGTGTTCAACACAAACTGAAGAAAACCAACACTGACCGTATATTGGGGACACTGAAACTTGTGTGTTCAACTGTTGGATCAATTGTTGACAGACAGTTGGTCCAACTGTTGATCCATTGTTGGTAGCTTGTTGAAATCTTGTTGAAGAGTTGTTGAAGTGTTGTTGAAACCTTGTTGAAATGTGTTGAAACGTGTTGAAAGTGTGTTGGAATGTGTTGAAATGTGTTGGACCGTGTTGAAACAGGGTATTGGACCGTGCACAATAGCAGTTTCGGTTACGGGTCATTTGCGTTGTCTGGGGGTGGGTTGTAGCTGTGTTTTC